ATGATTTCACCAAAGTCGTCTCATTTGGTGACCTTTGCTTCGCCGTCTGCAAACCCGGCCATCGGACGATTCACTGTCTACGAACAAACAATTTATCGTCGACGTCATGATCATCCATCCTCTCTCAAGTCGGTTTCTGCATCAGGTACCTTATCTTCATCACCAACACCTTAGCCTAGGTTATAGTAATGATGTCAGCATTGACCATCGTGGACTGTGCCGGAAGCTGGTGGAGGGGTGTGTTTGTTAACAAAATTATCCAAACTAGAGGGGATGAAAGCGTAATTTGTTTGATATATCTGCAGGGAAGGTAGTTTTCCAATCCCAATCATGAAATACACTGTTTCATAACTAGGATATGCCTAGTTTGACTACTTAAGCCATGAAACTGAGTGACACAAAGTTCAATTGATTAAATTGAAATGTGCAGAAAAATCACTCCATTAACTACACAAATGTCCTCTGCGTTATCCAATAAAAAACTGTCAATTTCAAATCCTGCATAAAATCCAAACAGGAAGCACACACAGACAAAAATAAATAAAACCCCAACTGTCTTGGCCCAAACTGTTACCGTACTTCAACGTTATCCTTAGTTGCTATTTGCTTGGAAATTAGATTATGCCTAGTTGAACTCCAGGAGTAACTCAACTGATAAACAGAAAATTAAGTTACACTAGTAAACAACTGATCAAATGTATGATCAACTCAATTGACTAAAATATTCAGTGCAACCCCAATTATGGAAACAATTCCAAGAAGCTTATGAATCATTTCAGTAATCATATATATATATTGACACAAATTCTAACATGCCTCTATCGTTGTTGCTTCTGAATTGAATCAAACCCTAGGTGCGGTGTTGAAATTGGCAGACGACGAAGACGGCGAACCAGAAGAAGAAGACGAAGGATCTCCCTCGAAAAACCTTTGAATCGCCTCACACACCAGAGAGACAGACACAAAAGGAACAAGCAGAGGAAAACGTTCGATCTGTGGTCTACCAATCACGAACTAGTAATCGAGAGCTCAAACAGGTGATATAACAATCGAGAGCTATTATGCAGGGAAAAACATTGAGAACAACCACGAATAGAATCGAGAGGACACAATCGAGGGTTACATGGAATCGCCTTCGAATCGCCACCACAAGGTCGGAGAGAGGAAAGAGAAACGGGAAGCATAAATGGGCTAGGGTTTCTGAAAAATAGTTTATATACCTATTATGGCCGATGCAGTAATATATTTAAGTAAATGATATCAGTTTGGGCCTGATATCTCTTCTACAGTACCATATCATCCAATATCACCATTTTGGGCTATTAATTTCAACTTGTTTTCACAGTATTCAACACCATATCAACCCACTCCAAACGTGATACGGTCCAAAATGCAAAATCGAAACATCAATGACAAAAACAAACCACATGCTAAAAGGGCCCCTAAGAAAACCCATTTGGGTATCTTATTTTTGATGATCTCTATTTTCTTAGCTCAATTAATACATTTTTCTTATGAGGCAAGAGTAAAATCTTAGGGTAAATTATACTAATTTTCCTTTAGGTTTCCTAGCATTCACAGACCTCCCTTTTTATTTGTCAAATTACATAAATATCTCCTAAAGTTTATATCTTTGTAACGCTGTATCCCTTTTGTTAAAGGCTGTTAATGGTGAACTCAGTCAAGCATTTTTTTTTTTAAATCAAAACTTTTAATGGTATCCTTTTCATTATCTCCTTAACCACTGAAAATACATCAATACCCTCTTACCTTTATATTAGAGATAGGTAAATCGATGCACTTGGCATACGCACATCAAAAAATTCAACGACAACTTACAAGGTTTATTTCTTTCTCTCTCTTCAAATTCACTCTCCTGAGCATCTCCAATGGGGCTCTCATTTGGGCTGCCAATTCAAAATATAGCAAGTGGGCTTAAAAATGAGTTCTCCATTGCAATGCTATTTGGGCTGCTACTTTTTAACTTTGCTAATTTTTATACCAATTGTAGCAAAACAAATAGCAATTGCTATATGGGCTGGGGTTGCAGAAAAGATGGGATCGGCTCCAATTTTACACCATGTATGTTGCTTGCATAGATAGCTATCAAATGGGTAAATTTTTTTTTTCTTTCAAAAAAGTTATATATATATATGTATATATATAACCTACAAATTAAAAACTACTGAATAGTACTGATCTCCAAAGCATCTTGTGATATCCCTGGCCTTCTAGGCCTCTTAAATATTGGATCTATATACCTTCTGAATATATGTATTTGTACTTGAAAGGTCTAAACATATATATATATATATATTGGTAAAGGTAAAATTATCAAACAACATTTTCAATAATATGAAATTGAAAAAAACAATCATGCTCAGTGTGTTTTCATGTTAATATTAATCTAGAATACTGGCAGAAACAGAGTGATTAAGACCATTTTTTTTTTTCCTCATTATTTGCACAAAAATATAATTGTGAGCAGTTACATTATTATTGAGGCTCTCTACAAAGCATTTCGAACTCTCAAATTGTACATAAATGCCCTGCCGAGTTATTGTTTATACAAAGAAAAACAAACAAATCAATGGCTTAAGGCCAAACCTTGGGTCTTCTATAGTACTACTCTCTTTGAATATTTCTTAGTTCTCAGTAAAAATAAAACAAAAATATGTAGCAATATAGTAATTTGTGAACATAAGTTACATAAACCGTGGCAAAATAATCTAGTTGAAGGAGGATCCATGCATAATAAAAAAAAGGTCAAATATTTTTATTTATTTTTAATAAGACAAACAAGCTAAATAAAATACAAACACTTTGTTTAGAGACGAGAATAGAGATGGAGTCTATTAGGGAGTCTGAAATAATAATTATTAAAATATTTTATTTTTTAATAATAATATAATCAAATATAATATATATATATATATATATATATATAAAAATTCCTGAAAAAAAATTTTAAAATATATATATTATTTTGCTTTATCTCTTTTTTTCTTTCCTTTTTTTTTTTTTAGATCATTTTTTAACCAGATATTATAATTTTTTACTTCTTTTTAATTAGGTTTAATTTTAGTTTCTTTTTAAGGTCTATAACTTGACTTGGAATGTGTCTAATATTAATATTATTGATACAAATATGAATAGTAAGAATGATAGTTGAAAAAGAATGGTGATTGTGTCAAAAAAATAACATATTGCATGAAATGTACCATTGGAGCCAAATTATTAAAATGTATTATTTTAACATTGTAACACCTGTCAAAATATAAATTTGGCATGTGTAAATGACTTTTAGAATGGGATATAACCGTCTGTCCATTCTCGGGTCGCCATTATCAGAGGCTTTGGTTTTCCGGATCTTGATCTCTAGGGCTATTTTTTCCTTAGGTTTCTTGCTTGGTTTCTTTCTTCGCCACTGCGATTAATAATAAATGGCTTTTCTCAAGAGTATTTTGATTCTAAACACTCAATTCTGGCCGTGGTTATCAGAGACCAAGGTTCTCGGTGTCAGCCGTGGTTCTCAATTGCCAAACATATTTTTGAATCAGAAATTGGGAAAAATAAGAATTTGTTTTATTTTGTTTACAGAGATGAAAAATAAGAGCTGTGTTTGTATTGCTCAACAAGACAATCTTGTTGGCTATGGGGATGATGTTGGTGGTTGTGGGGGGTTAGGATGACGGATTTGGTGGTTTTGTAATCATATCAATCATATTGCACATCCATATTGATCAACAAAGTATGCTTTAGATTCCTTTTGGAGAAAAAATAATTCAAAAAAAAATTTGGAAAGAGTAATGAGACAAGTGGTTTTTGATCATATGATTTGAGTTGATCCAGTTGGTAGACTGGTGGTCTTGTTCTTATGTGGACTGATGGGGTGAATTTAGTGGTTAAAAAGGTGCAAGTTTTTTGCTTTATTGCGACAATTGTTGGTGATTCTTAGAAATTTGGGGGTTTCAGTAGATTCTAGGAGAGTAGAACATAACGGGGGTATTGTAAAGAGAGCTTGTTGGAGGAGTTTCTTTGACAACCTTAAATTTACAAGAAAATGGACCAAACCTTAACCTCTTACCATCAATAAGTTTACTTGGTATCTTTACTAAAGCTATTTTGAGAAGAAAATGGTTGCCGTAAAGAAGAGACAGATTATAAAATAAAAAGGGTAGAAAATAATCTATTTTTTACTCTATCCGTCCCAAATTAAATGTTCTGTTTGGAAAACCTGACTCACCAGGAGATAATATTTTTTTTCAGACTTGAAAAGTAATAATAAATACAGATAGGCATTTTGGTCTTTGAAATTTTGAAATAAAATAAAATATATATAATAAAGACAAAAATGTAATTACACAATAATAGTTAACTATGTAATTTGACAAATAAGAGGGAAAGTCTCTGTATATTGACGAAACCTTATAAGAGGTCAGTGTAATTTGCCCTAAATCTTATATGAAAGAGCTGTTTTTAAACTTGTCAACTTTCTAATGGAAGAGATGGCATCAAATCATTAACTTCAGCTGGTTATTTTGCCAGAGATATCTTGATTGTAGAACTTCCTTTGGTATGGTTTTGAGGTTGGTTCTATATTGATGCATATTTGCTTTGCACTTTTGAGTTCTACATTCAAATGTCCAAAACAATTCCATTAATGGAAATGGTTGATCTTGTTAAATGGCCTGCAGATAGTAACTGCTTCGATTATGTAAATAGTACCAATTTGCTGTAGAAATTGACCAAAGAGAGTAAGAGGAATAGCAAAGCTGAACTGTGACGGAGGAGGGAAAAAAATCTCCGAGGGATGAGGCATTATCACATGGTCCAAGACCACTGGTCCCAGACCAATATTACCATTTGACACTATGTAATCAAATGTGTCATAAATATGCAAGCTTTATTTAATTTTTTTACTTAAATGCGGATGTCAAATAGCGAATGGCAAGGACCAATGGTCATGTCTTCTTTCTGGCTTAAAATAAATGTCTACCTTTTCATTTTTGATTGTCCCAAAATAAATATTCCATTTAAAAAATACTGTATTTTATAACATTACTACCGGGGTGGGGGGAACCAAAAATTTAATGTCATAAATTGACCCCCACATTATAAAGATTGAATAGCAGGAGTGTACAAGCTCCCCAAAATATGTCCATGATAATGATAAGCATCAGCATCATGGAGACCCCAGAGATTTGCGAGTATTAACAATCTTCACGCCCTGGGCTACTACAGCAGATCCCTATGAGCCTCTCTCTTCAAATACATAGAGGCTCTCTATTCATTGTGAATGCACTAAAACACAACCAAATCTTGGTCAATGAGGGTGATATTATGCTGTCAAGGATCCTCTCGCATATCTGGCTTCCTCTTGGCCTGCACAGCCAGCCGTGCATCCCTTTCCCGCTCAAATTCCCGATAATCTGTTCGCTGCAGGAAATTAACCCTCTCTAGGTACTGATTCGAGCTCTTCTTGTAAGTTTCCAGTTCTTCTTCCAGGCCCTTGTTTTCTTCCTTGAATTCCCCCCAGTCCTTTTTAGTCTTGTCAAGCACACTAAGCTTTTGTTTCTTCTTAATTTGTTCAAGAAAAGCATCAACAGCAGTAGGTGGGCCCACTGAGGCGGCTTTAGCTTTTTCAGATGCTTCTTTCGAATTGGCATCAACAAGCTTCTTAAATTCAATTTCTTCACCTGCAAAGTCCCGAACCTCGGTGATCTGTAGAATGAAAAGAATAAATTGATCACAGCTCCTATGCAAAGGGATCCAAATTGAATCATTTGCCACTTCATCAAAGTGACAATGATAACCCAAATCTGAGTCCATATGGGGGTGTGGGCGGGGGAAGAACTACATACTACACGAATACCAAGGCCGGCCATTAAATGGCAAACGTGTAGCAAAAGCAATTACAAGAGCAAGAATGTGCTTACCTCAACTTTTCCTCTGCCTGAAGTGGCAGCCAGAGCACTAGCATCCTTAATTGCCGAAAGAGCAGCAGCAGCGAGCTTCTTCGCCTCATCACCGGTGCCATTCTGTGCAATACTAGGTTTCTTTTCGGGCACATCTTGCCCAACAGATGCTGTCTTCTTTGATGCCAAGCCCAAATAAGTCATCCAACCCTATAACAGAAACATATTAGAGTAAAATCCTAGCTAGCTGTATACTGAATAATTAAAATTGAATAATCATAAAATCCTCACAGTAGAAGTCTTCTGCGAAGAACTCTTCTGTGAAGTCCTATTTACAGTTGAACTAGGCTTGCTTGAAATTGAATTAATAGTCTTCCTAGATACTCCCTTATTCATTTGCTGCCATATAGCATCCACCCGAGCTTTCCTTTCTGGTAAAATTAAACATATACATTAGCTCCCCTCAGGCCATGTTACTTTACTTTTGAAGCATTAAAGTAACAACAAGCAATCATGAGACGGTAAGTATCTTCAAAGTTTCTTACCAATATCTTCAGGTTGTGTCTGCGAGCTTGAAATATGAATGTCTTGGACAGACTCAACTGTGAGCCCATCATTTTTCACTACATTACCTGAAACACATTGTCCGATAGTTATCCAAAAGGGCAAATATATATATATATATATATATATATATATATATATATATATATATACACATATACATACTCAAAGGACACTCAACCAGTATGTCCAGTCCTTTGCAGTCGGACATGTCTGACTTTCGGACTGTACATCATAACTCTTCAATATATAGCACGATAGCAATTTATCCACCACCATCGTTTATAAGAAACCCCCAATTTCTGCAGTATTTGGATATCGGAGTCTCTTTTTCAAACCTATCCATAATGTGTTAACTCTAGTCAATGTCTCAAAATGTGAGACCTAACTAAATCAACCGTAATTGTTTGCCATAAAAAAATAAAATCTAAATCAAACGTAATTGATCGGAATTGAACAGCTCAGAAATGGAGACACTCCAAATCCATTTCTCAAAAACTGATATATGTGAATGCTTTCCATTTAAATATAAATAAATGAAAGATTTGGGGGCGCAATCATAATGTGTGCCACACCTCTAGTATGAAATAAAGCAAGCCACAAAAAGAGAGGATAACAATTTTGCAACCCTTCTTTAATATTATACTCCCAGATGCCAAGTTGAAAATAAAAGAAACTAGAATATCGTATATCGCTTTTACATTTAATTAAATGATGAGAATCAAACCCTTAACCCAACACCACCCGCCTTGGATGTCCTGACAGTATTTTTCTTTAATGGTGCAACAGCTTTGACATCAATATAGTTGTATTGTATCATGTACTTAGAAAATGCAATAATTAATGAGACCACCTTGAAATCTACATAATCAATTTTCTAGATAAACAAATGACTCTAAATAACCTCGATTTCTATTAGATTAAATAATTCAGATTGTTAAAATAACAGCCCACAAAATTTCCAAATTGAAATGGTTCATAGTCATTTATGTAATTCTTCATTTATATATACAGTTTATGTTAAAAACAAGAGAATACAAGTGGCCATTGCTTCTTGTCACGATAGAAGCCCACACTAATAAGTGAGAGAACCTAGTATTAAGACTGAGCACCACCACTTTACAGACAAGGGTAAATTACTGATCTCCCTTAAGCTTTGCAATTTTCACCTTCAAATTAAACTACCGCAAAAATGCTCTGAAATGAGTGTCAGAGTTAAAAGTCCAACGGCATTACAAATTGACCATTATACCCTCGACTGAAGTGCTGATGTAAGAGTTAAATTCAGAAAAACACAAAATTACCCCTTGACATTATCTACACGATTTGAGCACGTGTTTGCTCTTCTCCGTCACCAAGTATGTCGGCGGCTAACTTATCCTCGCTAAACCTTCACTTTCTCTCTCTTCGTCTCTCCTCTACCTATCCATAGCCACTATTCTGGAAACCTCCTTCCACATCCATATTTTGATTCTAAGATCATCAAAGAAATGGGCATCGGGACTTCTCAAAGGGTCATATCAGTACCGAGAGTGTGTATGTGTCCAGGGATGGACTTATCAAAAAAAAAAAAAAAAAAAATGTGTCCAGGGATGGCGAAAATGTGTTGTATCGGTCAAGCCAAAAGAGGATAAATGTCAGAATTTATGAAATAACTTCCTTAAGTGTGGAGGCAATAAAAACCTATTTATGATTTGGAATTTCTATAATGTCCACTTATGACGATGGCATTTTATTTATTTTTTGACAAGTAACGTATTATAGAAAAGCATGCTCAACTAGGGAGCACATCCCATATACAAAAGCCAGGACCAAATAGGGCCCCTAAACTCTAAAAGTATCCACAAAATCCACAATCTCCCTATAAATTTAGAATTCCTCCCAAGACCCCAAAAAAATAGAGAACTAAGAACAAAGAACTTAAGCACCCCAGTAGGAGTTTCCTCTCCATCGAAGGATCTCCTATTTCTTTCCCTCCATAAGACCCACCACAAGTACAAAGGGACCAAATAACTAACAGATAAACATTCCCTCTTCCTTTCCAAGATACGTTCTGACTTTAGAGGCCCAACTCAAGAATGCAATGCATGTGTGTATTATTTAAATATAATGAAGAAGACAAAGTGTTTGTTTTAATAAGGGAAACTATGGTTACAGGGTAGGTTTACCAAACAAGCCCTTTGTCGACCTAGCCACAAGAGACCCACTCAAATTACAAATTTTCCAACCAGCTGAACCGGTAGCCTCCATAGATTCAAGCGAATTATAACCCACTCTGTGGATTCTAGCAATCCCCATTGATTCTGACTCAGTGTTAGAATTATTGGTCGGAAGTACATGTGAGAATTGCTTGGCCAACTTGCAAGGCGGTGATGGTGGAGGTGGAGTGAGAATGGGAGCAATGTTGGTCGTGGTGGTGAGAGAATGGGGATGGGAATGGTGGTGGGAGAGAAACGAGAGGGAGAGAGAGACAAGGCAGTGATGGTGGTCGCGCCACGGTGGTGGGCGGGTGGGGGGTTGGCTATTGTGCTTCCTAAAGTGTATATGTGTGTGTGTATAGTAATATGTATTTAATATATTTAATTTCTAATTTTTATTATATAGTTTACAAATTTATAAGTTGGCCATATAAGGTTAAATTGGTAATTCCATATATTTAGTAAGGGTAACTGGGAAACTTCTTTTTTCGGAAGGGTCATTTTGGGATGCTATCATTGTTAGAAAGTAAATCCTTGCAGATTTGGGTAACCTCATTACTTGTCAACCATCCCAAGTTCCTTAACGAGGAATTTCAACGACTTGAAAATGCTTTGCGGCATTACATAAAAAGCACTAAGGCCCTAATGGACCATTAATGGATTGGACGTAGTTGTGTTTTTTGGCCAAAACTCATGGAGGTTAGGGTAATTTACCCTATAAACAATAATGTCAAAAGTTATGTCTATCTCCAGTCCAAAGAGAGTACCAGTTGCTTATTTCTTTGCTGCCTTTGGCTTCCCCGAGAAACCGCCCACCTAATACTATTGGGCTAGGGAAAAGGGCAAGAGACTTTCTGATCCAATTAGTTAACAATACATTTCAGTAGCTGGTTCCACAAGGCAAGGCAGCTGCTTTTTTTTTTTTTTTTTTCAATGGCAAGAAACACACACCACTCACACACCCACTTCGTCCTTTGGGGACTCAAACCCTCACCATCTACTTTGGGAGGTAGAGGAGATACCACTAGGCCACAAGGCCCTTGGTCAAGGCAACTGCTTGACTACAACGAAAAAATATTACAATTTCTGAGGAATCTATGGCAAATCTTCTCTTCATTTACTCAGCATACCATCCCTGTTTACAAGTTGAACAAGATGAATTACCTCGTCCATCATCTCTGTCGAAACACCCCACCCTTCCAAAGTCACAATAACTTAAATAACCTTGTACACGACAACTAAAATAACCTTAACATAAACACGCGTATTATTTATTTTAACACTCCTAAAAGACTTCTTGTTTTCGTATAAAATTAATGATATCAGTGAATATAACCTTAGTCGTATAGATTCATAGTAAAGCAACGTCAAAGGACTCAAAATGCTTACTGAAATTATTTACAACAGTACACTTTGAGGGGAAAAAAAAAATTATATCAATATAATAGTTTCTGTACATCAAGGGTGGAAGTAGGATATTTTTTTAAAACCCCCTTGTTTGTGGGTAAATAATAACTTAACACATGACCCTTCCAACCATTGTAATGTTGGCCCCCAAATCTAATAAAAAATATGTAAGCTCATTATTATGGTACGCCTTGCTGCAAATTGTGACACTAGATATATATATATATATATAAATATATTACATAACTATATGCATTCAAGAGGGAAAAAAAAAAAGCAGCTCTTGGCAGGCTCATTCACCATCTGTCGGCGTATTCCTCTCTTTGTTTTATTTTATTTCTTTTTTTCTTCTCTTACCAGTTTTCCCAAATCAGTTTTTAAAGTTGTATTAAGAATATACACTAAGACTAATAAAAAACAAACCGAAAACATGAATCTTGCGGAACGTGTTGGAACCTTATACCTGTTCTTTGTCAGGTGGTTCGGGTTGGATATAAAAAGGTTTTTTTTTTTTTTTTTTTTTTTTTTTTTTTTTTGATAAGTAAAAAGTAAAGAAGTACCATTAGACTACACCGCCTTTCATATCGGATATAAAAAGGTATTGAACAGAAAATCAAGAGGTGGCAACCAAAACCAAGAGTTGAAAAACTCAGAAATGAGTACATAATGGCATCTAGAATTTCCCCACAAGAATGATATACATAGTTACATAGCTGCCTAAAATCTACAGGAAGGCTACTAGACTTAAATCCTAGATGGCTAAACATACAGAAGCATAACCTCTTTTATTGTAACAAAATGGGCAAAGAAAGCCTTGAATCTTCTCCATAACATAACAAAGTGCCTCTAAGGATGTAGGAACAAAGAAAAATTATTACTTTTCTTTCCTTCTATGTTTGGGTGCTTTGTATTCTACATACTAATCCACAAAATATATAACATATGACCCATGGGTCTACTAATCTTAGGTGAACGAAAACATATATATATATATATATATATATATATATATATATATATATCTGAAAATGTACAGACCAGAGTTTAGATGCACTACAGCTGTATACCATTCAACTAAGCTGAAAACATGCTAAATTTTAACCCTTTGTCAAATTAACATAAAAATTATTTGGAACTCAATTGAAATACAAGAATTCTACAAACCCTAAGCAAATCAACAATCGCAATAAGGAAATACACGAAAAATGTAGTGGCACGAAAGAATCAATCATATATATATATATTTTACACATATTATTGATACACGTAATGTATACAGGAAGCCTAACCTGAGGCGTCTAATCCGTTGGTAGAAGAAGCCATCGAAGACGACATTCATGGATTCGATTATATAATATAAATATATATATATAGAGAGAGAGAGAGAGGGGGGGTCGCGAGGCTTGAAAGAGTTACGCAGGCAAGTTAGGGCATTTCACTTTTCAATGTTTCAGACCCTGAAGACATCCAAAAGTCGGGTACAATCTGGGCGGGTTCGACCCGAAACGACCCGTTTTTCCTTTTTCTTTTTTATTTTATTTTATTTTAAGACCCAAACAAACCCCTCCCCCTATTTTTTTTTCCGTGCAATGGCTTGAAAAATTAATCTACCCTTTCAAAGGTCAAAGAGCTGCTTGAATTAGTTTCTCTCTCATTTTGATTTGGACTGATTTTTCCTTTCAAAAAAAAACTTATACCATCTAGATAAGTTCCAAAAAAAAAAAAAAAAATCTCCAATCTTCTTGCTAGGAATGAAGGGTGAACTAAACTTTTATTAATTTCTCTCTCATTATGATTTGGACTTGACAAACTCAATTGAGTTGAGCTCAGATTAGCTTCTTCATACATAAATCGTGTTAGGGCTGCTGCCTCATAACACGGCTGCATATATTTTGGTTGCATTGATTATTTGGCTTATTTCTTTTGCTTAAATTGCTTTTTTTTTTTTTTATATTAATTTTTGAAATTAATATGAAGTTTAGCTTTCTTTCTTGGTAGATGTTACAAGTATCCCACGTAGAATTCGAATAGGAAAGAAAATGAGTATATACGTGTTGGCTCATAACTCCTTCTAATAATTTAAGTCATTACACTAGGATAATATTATTAATTGTTATCATAATTTTTTTTTGTCTCGTATGTGAAATTAATAATGGAAACAGATTTTTGTTGGTATAATTTGTAACCATTTCATCTTTTATAAGTGGGGAGAATCCCTATTCTCATCCTGTAAAACTGTAGAGAATAGAATCCTAGTGTTTTCTTAAGGATTGATTGTTTCAATATGAGTTTCAAGGCTACTAAACACTCACGGAGTTGCATAATAATCGATGACCAAGAGTCAATAATGTGGCTTTATAAACTTAATATTTATACCATCTAATAAGGTCTCCCACGTATAACTTTCTTTCACTTCAATGGGTCATAGGTGTTTTAATGTCCCGTTGGGTTTTTTTGATGGTCAAACCTGAATGTCAAATTACCAATTGATAATAACAGTACATATCAAAGATTAAACGGGTTAATCCAGTGCTTCAAGGCTGATTTTATATTTGAAGCAATAAACTCTAAATCACAATAGAACATCTTTTATCGTTAAAGCTCACTTCATGCAGGAACCAAGGTATGTAGAAGTTAGGGGGGGCAATTTTTCTTTTTCTAGTAATATATCATACTATTTTAGTTAGTTTGATATGTATATCTATAAAGTTATACTACTGTCCGCACTAAAATTATTAAAAAAATTACACTATTGCCCCACTTACACAATTTTTTGACTCTGTCCTAACCTCATATCAAGTTCAAGATCACATAGAAATATCAGAGAATTATTTGATATAAATGCTTGTTATTGTTTTCACAATTCAATTTTGGAATGTACTTCTTTATGAATATAATAATCAAACAAGATAGCTCACACTAAACCTGAATGAAATCACTCCAATGAATTTCAGTTACTAACTGTATCATTTGGGTCGCTATGGGCCTATGTTTTTGTTTTTCCTTCTAGGCTTTTCTCTTGAAAAGTCTTAACAAGCCTTTTATTTTATTTTATCCAGGTTACGGACCTAAAGGGGTTCAGGATTAATCTTGAACATCACCGTTATTGTTTATCTCATTATTTTTAGACAAATGAAAAGGTGACATGTGACAAGTTTCAATGAGGTTGCCACACTAGATTAGTGCTTAAATATTCGAAAGAGGAAGTTATATCGTGTAATCGTTGAAGATTGATTATATGACATCTACCAATGAAAAGGAAGCACTTTCCACACTAGATCGCAACTCTGGCAAGTTTGAAAAGGGAAGTCATATTGGAGTATTAAAACGCATATGATTTCACGTAGCAATCTAAAGCAAGGATCAATGGGCAATCATATTCCACCACGTGGGATCTTTTAAGAGAAAGTGGTGAGTCTTATAAAGACTTGCCATTTTAAAATAATGGACCACGATTTCCTAATAATGTGGAAAATAAGAATTGCATGGAAATACTATTATTCATGCAACCTTATGCAATTATTCAAGGCAAGACTCATCCAACCAATCAGCTCTTAATGCATGGATCTATGCTATAATGGTATTGGTAAACTAATATAAAAGTGACACATGGCGAGTTCTATGGAGCTTACCATGGTATGTGTTTGACTCCTAAAAACCGTGGTCCTTTTCAAGTGCGGAAAAAAGGGTGAATGTCGGGTGTGCCAGGAACTACTGTCATTCTAAAGTGAATATCTGAACAATTATCCAGTAGGAGATTGCAGGAATCAGGCGATTGTACGAAAGGACTGGAATTACCACCTTCGGAGTTTCTTTTTACCTTGAAAAAGGACTTCTGGACTATAATATTTGGTAGTGGAAAGGAAAGCGGTATTGAAAGTGTAGGACTTTAAAGTAAAGTGCTGAAAAGTAAGAATAATAAGTGCAGGACTTGAATTAAACATATTGAAGGTGCATTACATGAATGTAAAGAAATTGAAGTATTGTTAGGCTGTGTGCTTTGAACAGGGTTTGCAAACTAGCTCTAAGTGTTCTATTTATAGAGCTCCTCCATGCATGTAAACTGATGTGTGGCAGCCTTGGTAGCTTCCACTTGGCCAAATTCCAGACTGCGAAGTGCCCCACGTTCTCCTAGCAATTGTAACTTCCTCTTCCCATCTCATTCTTCCTCTGTCGCAGACTTCTTCCTTCTTTAGACACGATTTAAACACTTTCTTCAATAACTACTTCGGTTAGTGGTAGTTCCCTTAAGAAATTCCACCACTCTCAACTGACGCTTTCTTGTTTGGCCAAGTGTCCCACGATCTCTAATAGTTTTCCTCTTCTGTAAAACCCTCCTTTCATGGCGTAACTTCCTTGTCTTGAATAACATTCCAAATATATATGTATTGTTGGCCTAAGGATTTTTATCTAAAGGTCAAGCTTATTTTTGATGATTACAAACCATTAATGATGTTTATGTACTAATATTTTCATTGAGTTATATATAATTCATATCTTATATGATGAGCTAGATGAGCCATTTCAAGCATTCAAGTACTCAAGCTATGGACTCAATGAAGCCTCAAAGATTGCAAGAAATCAAAGAAAGACTCAAACTTCAAAGATCAATCAAACAATTTCAAGGAAGAAAGCAAGTCTTCATCAAGCTCAAAAGATCATGGTCAGGGAATGGAGAAAAGGGTAGATAGGATGGTGAGAGCTTTAGATTTAAATGTTAAAGCATATTTGAATATCTTCTGAAGCTCAAGTTTTTAGGTTCATGTATATTTTCTCTAAAAATCAGTTTTTAGAAGGCCTAAAATCTTTCCATGAACTTTACTTATGCATGCTCTCATAATAGGAAGTGCACAGAACAAGACTTGTTTCATTTTTAGTCTTACACAAGGATTGGAGCCGCCTCCCAAATATTGGAGCCTGCTCTTTGTAGCCAAATTGTGTGTCGTAGAATGCATTTTGTGAATTGGAGCCTCCTTCCAGTTATTGGAGCCGCCTCCCATTTATTGGAGCCTCCCCCAATTTTTTGAAGAGCCGGCTCTTCTAGATTATTTGAATCTTCAACGGCACTTTTCTGCATTTAAGACTTCCAACTACTTCTAACAGACATATTAAGCCTCGGTTGTCTATATAAAGAAGGCTCATTTTACTGAAGTAAAACACCACTGAATAATACATTCAAGAGAGCATTCAACAGCATTCAATAAGCCATTAAATTCTTCTCTGAGCTTTCACTTTCAACCATCACTACTTTCTCTCATCCTAGAACTTGAGCTTCATTAATATTCTGATATTCTCTAGTTGTGAGCTTACACTTGTATATCTATTGAGAAAGATTCTTGTATTTCATTTACAAACTTTGCTACAATCTTGTAAGGGTTGGTGTGACCCAAAAGAAGCCTAGGAGAAGGGTGTTCTCCTAGCAAGGAAAAGAAGCAAGGTTTTGCTTCAAATTTGAAGGTTTGCTCTCCACCATTAAGGAGAAGCTCTAGTGAATTTGGGAAGTCTCAAGGGGGATCTTGAGCCGAGGAGTAGGAGTTTCCGAACCTCGCTAAATCACCGAGTTCATTGTTTGCATTTTCCTATCTCTATCTCTTTTATACTTGTGCTATATATTGCTTAAAATTTTCAATTAATCATTGCATAATAGTTGTTATAAAACAAATTTCATAAATTGCGAAAATTGGCCATTGACTCTATTCACCCCCCTCTAGAGTCAATTAGTGGTTAACAATTGGTATCAGAGCCTAATCTCTAGAAAAAGATTAATCATCTTAGAGAACGATCATGGCCAATGCAAATTTTCATCAAGAAGGTCAATTTAACAATAGACCCCCTTGGTTTGATGGAAGTGACTACAACTATTGGAAAATCAAAATGAGAGCATTCTTAAGAGGCATAGATGTAGATGTTTGGAAAGCCATAGAAAAAGGAGACCATGTTCCAACCAAGATAGTAGAGGGTGAAAATGTTCGAACACCCGATATTGAATGGACCCTTAATGACCGTAGGCTTATACAATGTAATGTCAAGGCTATCACTAATCTCTATTGTGCCTTAAGCAAAGACGAATTCAATAGAATTTTTGATTGCGAAACGGCTAAAGAAATTTGGGATAAACTTGAAGTTACCTATATAGGTACTAGTCATGTTAAGGAATCCAAAATGAATATGCTTGTCCATAGATATGAACTTTTTACCATGAATAACAAAGAAACTATTAGTGAAATGTACTCTCGTTTTACTAACATTGTTAATCCTTTGAAAGCTCTTGGAAGAAAATATACATCATCCGACAATGTAAGAAAAATCCTTAGATCTTTGCCAAAGAATTGGGAAGCAAAGAAGACCGCCATCTAAGAAGCCAAAGATCTTAACACACTTCCCATTGACGAACTCATTGGTTCATTAATGGCTTACGAGCTAGAAATGAATGATAGAGATGAAGAAA